AGTTAAAATACTGCAATATTAATTTATTGTTATAAGCGTAAATCTGCGTAAAAATAATATAATAATAAAAACACTAAAAGGTACGTAACTGATTGTTACTGGCTGAAAATAAATAAACATTCAAACGAGATAACCACAGATACTAGCAGGTCGGTATATCGACGCTGAATAATAAACAAATTTAATTATTAATTTAGCTAAAAAAAACAATGTGCACTATATTTAACAATTTTTCTTTTTTGAATTTCGCGTCGATTTATATAATATCTCCAAAATAATCTACAACCGAAAACGATCACGTTAAGATGGAGGTGATGATCATATATCAGAAAACTGTCGAATATTCAGGAAGTAGTAGGTAAGACTAATAACGAAATTCTTAAATCCGGCGATAATGATCAATGTACAAATTATAGACCTATATATGGCTATATCCTTCTATCTCTAAATATTTGAAAAACGATTAGAACAACGTTTGATTGATTTTTTGAATATATATAAATTTTTACTACAAACTAATTTGGATTTTGGAAAAATAATTCAACAAAATTTGCACTGTTATTAGCATCGAATTGTATTCATTCTAGTAGACATTAACAATGACAATAATAAGGTAGGTGATTGGTTTGCATTTAGATTAAAAAAATGATTTACATAAAAAAATATTAAAATATTAATGTGGTATTATTGGTATTGCTCAAGATGTTTTTATTTCATATTATTTTTCAAATAGATTGCAATCATTGTATTTTACATTGTATCAAAGTTGGACCAAGTTTGTCGTATTCCACCTATGGTGGATTAATATAATCAGTTAATACAAAATCCTAACCATACTAATATCAGATGAATAAAAAAAAACCAAATTTAACTATTTTTAAATTAGACTGCCTTCTTCCCAGAGTTCGAATATACACACAAACATTAATTTATTCATATATATATATTGACAAAAAACAATAATACAAATCAAAAAACATAGCCGATTAACCAATAGCAACCAATATAAATTATAATAAACTCAGATTTCCTACTTTTCCGGTGGATTTACCTAAAATTTTCTTTCTTATTAACCTTCCCCCGGTGATTATGAATATCTTAAAAAAAATTTGAGCCAAATCGGACCAGCCGTTCTCAATTCATAGGGTAACGACCATTTTTCACTCTCCATTTTTATTTATATAGATTATGATGTGGAGATATCAGATTCAATAATATTCACTCAAATCACCGAGGTACACACAAACTTAAACCTAATTTATAATAATATGTTTATTATATATTTATACCATAAATCATTATTGTACAACGTATATAATAAGACATTATAATATATCAATGTAATAATATACTATAATATAACGCAAATGCATAAAAATTCAGTCAAATGTAATTAGGTGAAGTTAAAATATTGCGATGCTTGTTAAAAGCTTGAATCTGCGTAAAAAAATAATATAATAATAAACCTAACTGATAGTAGCTGGCTGAAAAGAAGTAAACATTTAAACCACGGATACTACTTGACAGGTCGGCAGTATCTATATCGACGTTGAATAATAAACAAATATTATAACTATTTAGTTTACCTAAAAAATCAATATGTACCTATTTTATTATATTTTATATCTGTATATCCAGTGATTGTGTTACACTGATAAATTATAGGTAAAAACCAATTCTTATTTTGGGAATTTCACGTCTCTTTATAATTTATAATAATATAGTATTCTCTAAAACGGACTTCAAGCTAAAGCGATCACATTATGATGGGGATGATGTGACCATATTATATTAGATAACTGTCGAATATCAATGAAGTCGTAGGTAAGAATAATAACGAAATTATTAAATTCGGCGACAGTGATCAATAGAGTGCGAATTTAAATGCATTTAAAACCAACATAATAGGCGCTAAAAAATCTTAAAAATGCATAAATATATGCACTAAAATGTTTAAATATGGATGAAAATTAAAAATTAGCAATAAGTGGTATTGTTTGAAAGTTTAATTAAAACAATATGTTTCAAATTATTGAACCCTTAATTAAATACTTTTCTTCATTTTTATTCTCAAATATTGTCAATAATGGTCAATGGTCGTAGTCGATATTTTCTTATTTTGGTATAGGTTTTATATTTCAACGATTATTGATCTAATGTCATCTTTGATAAAACCGTTTATACCTAAAAGTATAATATCTATTAATTTATTTTGATATTAATCAAAACAATAAAATTATAATATTATTTTCTTATTTTACAATGGTATATATTTCAAAAATGTCTAAACAACCATCAAAATATGCACTGAAGTCTGAAAGATGAAATACCTATGCAATTAAAATTTTAAAATAAGCCCTTAAAATAGCGAAAAATGGGTAAATGTTCAATTATTCGAAAATATGCACTAAAAAGACGTTATTATTGTACTAATCATTGACCTATCTCTTTCTACCTCTTTAAATATCCAAAATATTTGAAAATTGATTAAAACAATGTTTGGTTGATTTTTTGAATATACATAACTTTTTTTCTATTAACCAATTTGGATTTCGGAAAAATAAATCAACAAAATATGCACTGTTATTAGCTTCAAATTGTATTGTTCTAGTAGGTATTGACAATGACAGTAATAAGTTAGGTAATTACATACTATTTCAGATTTAAAAAACGCTTTTCATTAAAAAAAAATATTAAAATATTGTGCGGTATTCGTGGTATTGATCTAGATGTGTTTACATCATATTATCTTTCAAATAGATCGCAAGTAGTTAAAATTGAAGAAATATATACTCTAGGATCAGTCGTCTTAGGATCATTTTTATTTCTTATATTTACATAAATATTGTATTATTAATCTTAAAATGTCAGGAAATATTAATTGTTATGCTGACGATACATTATAATTTATAGTTTCAATTGAACATAAAAGAAATTGATGAATATTGTATTAATTAATGATTCAATGTACCTACTGTGATGAATTAAAAATAAGCATGCACGTTGTTATTGATAAAACTTTACCTTATGAATCATAATAATATATTAACTGAGGTGGTGCAGTTACTATAGTTAGCTATTGTAATGAATAATAATTAAAAGGATTTAGAATGTTGACTTTTTTTTTCCAATCTTTTATTATTCATTAAAGCATATACTATTTATTACGATCGATTGGGATCATGAGTATAGATTTATAAAAGAATTTATTTATGATACATCCGAGTCTGCGTGTCTTTATTAATTTGTTGCTGATGATAATTCTATTGTTGAAATTGTGTGAGTATGTATTATTATAATTTCTTACCTGGTTGATGTTAGGTACTTGATTAAACGATGATAGATTTTAAGATGAGAGTTTTACAATGTTAGTTTTCTCGAAATGACGTAAGCACAATTTTGATATGAGTAAAAGTTATTTTAATAATTCACAACAAGATATAAAATTTGAATGAGTACGTTAAATTAATAATCACTGTATAACTTTGGTAGCGAAATAACACTGTGTGTGTGATACTGTGTTACTGAGCTCCGACCCAAGTGATGGAAGCAGACTGATCTAAATATCGAAATGGGGGTTCTACTTATAGTATTGACCTTTATTGATACCTTGATGTTCCATATTAAATTGTTGTTGTTTATTTGGAATAAGTGCATGGGTATAATCAAATATATATATAATATGGTTATTATTTATTAGTTGTTTTTGGTCATATTTTTATTAATATCAGGGTAGGTATATGGGTACAGATATTTATTATGTTTTGATAGTGTTTATTAGATATTGTATTGTCATTTGATTTCACAGTGAGTATGAATGTTGTTGTTGTGTATAATTTTGGATACTATAATTGGTACCTACATGGGTACAGATATTTATTGTGATATTTTGGTAATGACATATTTAATAGTATTATGATGGTATTGAATCATGAAGCTGTGTTGGTGAAATGATGCAGATATCATTACAGTACTCGAGAATCAGTCATCTTAGGCTCCTTTTTTATTACTTATTTACATAAAATATCGTCTAATTAATCTTAAAATGTCCGGAAATATTATTTGTTTTGCTGACGATACATTATAGTTTCTGCAATGGAACATAAAATAAATTGATGAATATTGTATTATACTTAGCGATTTAACGCACCTACATGTATAATAATATTTTTATATTTACGATAATTTAATAGTTTAATTCATTCAAATATCGTTATTATTGTTTTTGGTACCTAAAGGCAATATAAGTTCAGGACATATTATTTTTTTTTAAATTCATCACAACCAGGTATTGTAACAACCAGGGTCAGGAATCGTATTCTGTGAAGTGTGGTGAGGGGTGGGTCTAAGTGCTATAAAGAATAGTTAATTATATATTTATTAATATTAAAATCGATAGAAACTCAAAACCCTTAAGAAACTAAATGTTTAACTCAACTTTAACTTTTATACTCATTAATGCACAGCATAAGTATAATTATTGACTATACTTTCATTATAACAAGGAAATATATAGATTTTAATTGAATACCTATCATAATGAATAATTAATAGATTATCGTAACACTTTCAGCTGCCACCGATGTTTTAAACATCCATTCAAACTTTTGTTCTCGAATACTTAGAAATCCAAGATGAAGCAAAAGAAAAGTGTTTTTGTGTAAATATTTGCAAATAAATAACATTATCTCCCCCGTCGGGACCCACCTTGATGTGGTGGGGGAGCTTGCGGGCCTTTAGTTAGGTCTTACCAAGCGGTCCCAACCCGGCTGTGACCTTAACCGGTTGAAGTCGGAGCTTCAAGAGCCGCCCTTGCCTTAAGCAGCTGGGGTCGGCAGGTTGGAGGTAGCCTGCTAGCGCTAGCAAAGCCCTAGTGGAAGGAAAACCACGATAAAAAATTCTGAGCTGGCCCTTTCTCTGAATAAGTGATAGGAGAGAGGGCTGGTAAGGTCGGAGGCAGCCTGCTCCCGCTGAGCGAATGCCCCAGTGGAAGAAAAACCATGATAAAAAAAACCCTTAACCCCCAACTCGTAAAGGGGGAGTACTTGGCACGGAGGTCAGTGAAACGTGTCTACGAGGACCCTGTGGAAGACCAGGCAACCTTCCACAGTAGCCTATTTTGGCAGCCTTCACTGCGGTACGCTGCACTGCCGCAGTGCGACTTTTATATCATGCATACTCGTGGGAATCATATGGAGAACCTCAAAAAACCAAACCGACTTGATACAATGGACAAAACAAACGCATCGGAAAACAGCAACAATGGAGAATATGGAAAACTTAAAAACAAATATGGCATTAGGAACTCCCTTCAGAAAGCGGGGTCGTCTACTTCTACTGAAAAGGTAAATTTTTCTCGTAGTTACGATTTTCAATATTTCCAACACAATTTTTCTTCTAAATTCGTAGATGTTTATTGTGTATGCACTATGCAAACTTAAATTTTATTTTTAAATTATGATTCTCTATACACTTATACACATAATATTATATATTATGGAGTATAAGAAAAATTATGTCTGAAAGTCGAAGACACTATATTAATAAAAATCCATCTGGACTTATTTAAGGCCCTTGCATATACCTGCAAGAACGTAGCTGTAGCTACCAACAAGACTTTACCTGACTACAAGCGAAAGCGATCATCTTATGAATATGATGACCATCATAATAGAAAATTATCTCGAACCTCAACATCCACACTCGATATCCATCATGTAATTGGTAAGTAATATATACGTCAACAAACCAAAGACATAATAACGAAATATACCTATACTTAAACTATACGGTCGATATCAATGCTTCCCTATTTTAGAGCCTAACCAGAGCGATGATTGTATTGATTTTTTCATAGTGTAGGTACGCAGTGTTGAGAATAGATACAAAAAAACATTTAATTTAGATAAGATAGAGATAATTATATATCTATTTATTAAGAATTCTGGGTATATACCAGTTATCTAGGTAATACAGTAGATAAAACTAATTGAATAACTAAATAACAAATATACAACAATGCAGGATGTACCTATGGGTTTTTTCTCAATATTTGTGTCTGTATACAGTGTATACTATACACGATAGATAGTCAAAAATAATGTTTCGATTTTGAACTTCAGACCATATAGGTACTTGTTTCTTGTGAAAATTTAGAATATTGTTGGTGCGTTTGGGAGATCAAAATTAAAAAAGGTGGGCAAGTGGGTGTCGCTCTGCTGTACTGTAGGTTACAAGTGGGTCACTGTATAATGGATGGTATTAAATTTGAATTCAATGATATAATATCATTGTATAAGAAAAACGATTCTGAGCGGTGATGGTATGTCAGTCTATGTATAAGGCATATTATATACATATCTATGGTATTAAACAAAAAATTGACCTATAATAGGTACCTATAATAAATTCCAAATTAATCATATCACAATATCCATTAGATACTTATAACGCGTTATACATCAACAAAAACCGTGATACTATCATAGATATATAATAGTACACTTTAGAAGTTTCAAGTACCCACGAATAGTATTATTCAATCACAACAAAATAACTAAAATCGTAATTCTTGGTTTAAATATGAAATTTTGTCTAAATTTGAAATTAAAATGTCTGTAAAAAATAAGTGTGTTTATATATTTTTTAGATTTTTTGGTTACAGTATGAATTATTTAAGAGAATCTTTGTTTTAAATTTTCAACTCTTAGTTATAGAAACTGAACATTTTATAATTTTTTAATTCCAACGATTGATAATTTTCGAGATTTTGATAAATTTTGTCAAAATTCCAACTTTAAATGCTTATAAAAAAAAATCGTGCCTATGTATTTTTAATATTTTTCAACTGATATTGTAACAATATATCAGGAGCCTTGTATTAAATTTTTACACTTTTTGGCCCAACAGATAAAACTTTATTGATATTTATAGAAAAAAAAAACTAAAAAAAAATGAAAGCTGTAAATGTCCATAAACAGCTCAAAAAGAGTCAAAATATTTTCAAAATTGTATGGTGTATATGAAATGCTAATATAAACATTCAGTGAAATTTTCATGTATCTACAGTTATTCGTTTTTGAATTACAACAAAATAAGGAAATCGCTACATGAGAAATCGAGTGAAAATCCAATGTTGTAAAAATTTGAATTTCAAACGCTCATAAAAATTTAATTTGACTGTCCGGTAGATATTTTTTTATTGATAAAGGTAGATAATCTTATAAGGAATCTTGTGTTTCATTTTCAAATCTTAGATTTAAAAAGAAAAATTTTTACGAATTCTTAACTCAAAATAATTTGCTAATTTTCGTGATTTTTCCATATTTTGTCAATTTTTGAACTTTAAATGCTTATAAAAAAAATTGTGACTAAGGATTTTTAATATTTTTCATCTGCCTTTGAAACAACATATTAGGAGCCTTCTATTAAATTTTCAAGCTTTCGCAACCAACAAATAAAATTTTATTGATATTTCTAGAAAAAAAAACTAAAAAAAAATGAAAAATGAAAATGTCCCTAAACAGTTCAAAATAAATCAAAATATTTTGAAAATTTTATCGTGTATAGAAAATGCAAATATAAACAACCAGTGAAAATTTCATGTATCTACGGTCATTTGTTTTAAAGTAACACCAATAACCAAATTCGATTTTTTGGAAAATCGATTTTGCGTAAAAATTCCCGTTTTTCCTTAATTTTTATGTTGTTTTTCCCGGCGCTTGTGAAAACTACTGGAAAATGTTTACTTTTGACCCCCCAAAGTACCAACTTGATTCACTTTCCTATCAGAAAAGGTACTATTGAAGAAAATTGAAGCACTTTTACTGTCCCAAAACGTGATGACAGACACAAAAATATAAATAAAAATATAAAAAGGTGGGTAAGTGGATGTCGCTCTGCTGTACAGTAGTGGGTCACTGTATAATGGATGCTATTAAATTTGAATTCAATGATATAATATCATTGTATAAAAAAAACGATTCTGAGCGAAGACGGTATGTCAGTCTAGGTTTAAGATAAATTATATACAAATCAATGGTATTAAAAAAAAATTGACCTATAATAAATTCCAAATTAATCATCAATATTATCACAATATCCATTAGGTACTTATAACACGTTATACATCAACATCAATAACAAACCCTGATACTATCATCGATATATAATAATACACTTTAGAAGTTTCAAGTAGGTACCCCGTACCCACGAATAATATTATATAATCACAACAAAATAACTAGGTTTTTTAATATGAAATTTCGTCCAAATTTGAACATAAAATGACTATAAAAATAAACTGTGATTGTATATTTTTTAGATTTTTCGGTAAGAGAATTAACTACTTACGTAGAATCTTGTTTTAAATTTTCAATCCTTAGCTATAAAAACTGAACATTTTATAATTTATTAATTACGATGATTAATAATTTTCGAGATTTTGAAAAATTCTGTCAAAATTCGATGTTAAAATGCTTATAAAAAAAATTGTGCCTATGTATTTTTAATATTTTTCAACTGATATTGTAACAATAAATCAGGAGCCTTGTATTACATTTTTACACTTTTTGGCCCAACAGATAAAACTTAATTGATATTTATAGAAAAAAAAAACTAAAAAAATTGAAAACTGAAAATGTCCGTAAACGGCTCAAAAAGAGTCAAAATATTTTCAAAATTGTATGGTGTATAGGAAATGCTAATATAAACATTCAGTGAAATTTTCATGTATCTACAGTAATTCGTTTTTTAATTACAACAAAAAAAGGAAATTGCCACATGAGAAATCGAGTGAATATCCAATGTTGTAAAAATTTGAATTTCAAACGCTCATAAAAATTTAATTTGACTTTCCTGTAGAGATTTTTTTATTGATAAAGGTAGACAATCTTATGAGTAATCTTGTATTAGATTTTCAAATCTTAGATTTAAAAAGAAAAATTTTTACGAATTCTTAACTCAAAATAATTTGCTAATTTTCGTGATTTTTCCATATTTTGTCAATTTTTGAACTTTAAATGCTTATAAAAAAAAATTGTGACTAAGGATTTTTAATATTTTTCATCTGCCTTTGAAACAACATATTAGGAGCCTTCTATTAAATTTTCAAGCTTTCGCAACCAACAAATAAAATTGTATTGATATTTCTAGAAAAAAAACTAAAAAAAAACTAAAAATGAAAATGTCCCTAAACTGTTCAAAATAAATCAAAATATTTTGAAAATGTTATCGTGTATAGAAGATGCAAATATAAACAACCAGTGAAAATTTCATGTATCTAGGGTCATTTGTTTGAAAGTTACACCAAAAACCAGAATCGATTTTTTGGAAAACCGATTTTGCGTAAAAATTCCCGTTTTTCCTTAATTTTTATGTTGTTTTTCCCGGCGCTCTTGAAAACTACTGGGAAATTTAAATTTTGACCTCCCCAATGCACCAACGATATTCACTTTCCAATCGAACAAGATACTGAAGTCGAAAATCGAAGCATTATTTCGACTACTTATCGTGTACACAGACACAAAAAAAATAAATAAAAAATAAAAAAATAAAAAAATAAAAAAAAAAACACACATCATTGTAAAACCAATACATTCATCGCTCCGCTCAGAATCTGAAATTAAAAGTAATTTTCTATAGCGTCTTGGAAAAAAACTTAAAGAAAAACGAGAATGTTAACACAAAATTGATTTTGATTTTTGATGCAACACTTAAAAAATGAACATTAAATTTGATACATTATATCACTTTACATATTATTATTGTTATTATTCACAATTTATTTTGTAGTTAAATATGTATAAAATTTAAAATTTTTATTGCTAAAGATTGCAAATTTAAATAAGTATTCAAATAACACACAATAACATTTTCAAACGCAAATTTTCACCAAAAATTAATTTTACCTACTGTAATTCTCACTATAATGTCTAATAGTTAAATAAATTACATAAATCACAATAAAATCATGAAATATGAATAGTAAATAGTAATTGGTATATAATTATACATAGACTGACAGACAGTCTTTGCACAGATTCGTTTTGCGTAGGTATATATACACTGATTTTATATCCCATTGAATTCAAATTTAACTCATCAGTTCCTCGATTTTTTTTTTTAATTATATCACACAACTATTAGAAATAGGATTAGTTGTTTTTTGTTTTTTTTTTTGGATTGAGGAGTTGGGCATACCGCGTATCTAGCACGTATACTTTTTGGAGTTACTATTGTAGAAATAAATAGTTATGTAGATATATATGTTACGGGATAAGTAGAAAAATAGCCATTGTAAACATTGACCATTAGTTCTATACAATGACAGAGTTTCAAGCATGATTCCTTGTGGATAATTATATACATACACGATAGATGGGGTCGGATCACTGTTTCTTATTGTCCGTACATTTTGTTAATTCTACTAAAATCAAAACTG